AAGTCTGTTTTCTATCCGCATCCAAGAGTTTAACCTCTTTAAATAGAGTAACTAATTGTAGAAGCAATGAATCTACCTCTGCGAGAGAAGATCGCCACTCAGCTGAAGTTCTATGTGCTATTCTCCATCTCAAGCTAGTTATTTCACAAGTTGTTTCAAGGTTAATGAACAAGGCTGCATGAGAAGCTCAGTTAAGCTAACAGGCATCATGTACAAGTACATGTTCTACCAACTAAAGAACCAGCTCATCCTCAACTATTAGTCAATATTCCGAGCTGGATGACTATAAAGGTGTTGACCTGCCTTGACACAAAACCTTTTTTTCAGAAGGACAAGGCAAACGAGGGGTTGAGAGGTGCAATGGAGAAGAAAATGAAAGGAATAAAGCAAGGCGGGAAAAATAAGGAACCAAACATCACTAGAAGCAAGAAAAGTTAGCCCTCGATCTTTTAAAAAAAAGGCAAAGGTTGAGTTTTTCTTTCCTATTCTTTTCTTCTCTTTCTTTCCTTCTTTCAAGTTCCCAAATCACTTAAATCATCACTCTATTTGAAAACAAAAACCCAATCTCCCACAACCAGGGAATGTTATTTGATACAACATTTTTGCGTCCCTGTTGGAGCTGATGCAACAATACAGCTTTAATATGAAAAAACATATACCATGAAAAGGATTCACCCCACCTAAATGGGACACAAGACTTGGTTTGGTTCGGCTTAGGGAACCCACATGGTTCAACAAGTTGGGATTGGGGCATCTACAAATTGTTTGTAAGGATGTTCATTTATGAACTAGACTACGGAAATAGTATAAAACATAACTCAATTCCTTTAATTCATCTGCACATCCTATTCCCTTACTAGTACAAAAATATGATAGGAACTGTACAAAGAGTAGACATGGACCAGGCACTAACAAACACGGACATGGACACATGACACGACATGAACAAGATGACGTGGAAATTTTCAAACACGACAGGTGGAGGGCACATGCAAAATATATAATTCTATATATTTATTATATGGCATATATATTCATGAGCCCGATTTACCCAAATAAACCACCTAACCTGACCAAAAAAGTTGCCAAGTGGTTGACTTCGATTTATATTCTTGAAGATAAACATGTGGCAGATTCGTTAGAGATCAACGAGATGTGGTCGATTAAATCATAGGAAGGCTACCAGCGAAACCTTCACACCATCTTTGTCCCTATCTATGTTTGATCAAAAACCCTAGGTAAGTGGATTTGTAAAAATAAATAGATTTTCTATTGACTTTTAATCCTTCCCTATTATCATATAAATTTCATCATTGTAGTTGTATCAATTTTTTGTTTCAAATTTGTACAATAATTTTAACCTTTTGTTTTTTCACATTTGTCTATCTAACTCTGGTTTTGGGGGCACTGCAAAAAGTAGGTGTAGTGGCTGTGGTTTGAGTTTTTTGGGTAGCTGACCTAATCTGGCCATGAAACCGAATGGTTGATATGGATGGTTTTCATCTCTAAAGTGGTGGAGATTGGTTTCATAAATGTTGGATCCAACACATATGGTTTGGTTGATGAGTCAAGGCCAAACCTGACTCAAACCGACCTATGAATAGTCCTAATTATATATATGAAAATTTAATTCAAAAATATAATTTTAAACTATAAAGGAGAAGAATAGGTATAAATTTGCAGTATTTTTCTTTTATTATCAAATTATAAGTAATTTTATTCGAACTTGTCTAGGAAGCACGGATACGGATACGGGATACGGGTACGATACGATATGGATACGGCGATACGACAAAATTTGAAAAACTAGGATACGGATACGGCGGGGATACGTTCATAAAAAATATTATTTTTACAATTTTTAGGAATGTAGCATACATAAAAATAAAACTTCAATTCAAATTCATTAATGTAGTTATCTTTGGGCATGAACATAAAAAAAAAAAAATTTCATCAATTCAATTAAATTTCAATAATATAGCTTCACTCATAACAACCATAATGCAATTCAAATTAAGGGGGGAAAAATTTACAAAATTCATTTATTTAATAATAAGTTTATTTATTTATTTATTTGCTTATAAGAAATTAATTTAAACTAATTTACAAAGTTCAACTTATTTTAATATTTATTTTTTCTCTTATAAAAAAAAAAAAAAAAATTATACATATATAAAAGATAATATATATATATATATATATATGATATCAAATGGGCCAAAAATATTACTGATAGAGTATACTTCTAAAAAGAAATATATATATATATATATATACATATCAAATGGGGCCAGTCTATAGAGGTCGAAAGGGAAAGCGAGAGATAGAGTGAGAGAGAGAGATAGACCGAGAGAGAGAGTCAGATCGAGGGAGATCTGTCCATCAAGACCAGAGAGATTGAGCGAGAGGGAGAGGGAGAAAGAGAGAGTGAGATAGAGCGAGAGGGAGAGAGAGGGGCGAACCTGATCGATTGACGCGCTACTGTTCGACGAGACAACGAGTTGCTGTTTGATAGAGACGACGACGAGCTGTTGATAGAGATGACTCCTCTCCTCTCCTCTTTGCTGCTGTTGTCGTGACTAGGTAGGGTTTGGTTGATTTGTGTTTTTTTGTTTTATTTTACCTATTTTGTTATTTTATAGTTTGACCCCTGTTATATGTTTTTAAAATTATTTTTTTGTCCTGCCGTATCCCGAAAGTATCCCGACCGTATCCCTGAAGTATCCTTGCATATCCCAAACGTATCCGAAATTTAAAAAATTAAAAAAAAAAATAGGATACTCTTTTTCTCGTATCTGATACGTATCCCGCCGTATCGGGCGCGTATCCGTATCCGATACGTATCCGATACACGTACGGGAGCCATTTCGGAGTATCCGTGCTTTATAGGAACTTGTAATGTGTTTCATTTGTAAATTGTATCTCAACAATAGACACATACTCTTCAAGTGTCAAAAGGACGTCCTGAGTTTGGAATTTTTTTACAAATAGTGAGACATATTTCGACATGTATTTGATAGGTGTTGAGAAGTGTCTGACAATTGTCGGGTCGTGTCATGTCGGTGTCGGAGTGTTGGTATTTCTTAGACCATGTAACAAGACATCATTTATATTTTAGAATATTATATAATAAAAAAAAACCTACATCTACAATTAAGTTGGTGAAGCCTTGTAACGCTTTTTGTTTTTCTTTCAGAATTGCCCACACGAGCAATTATGCCATACCAAATTGCTTTCTTTTTTTTTTTCCTCTGAAAATTGATTTTCGAAGAAGCTTAAAAATGTAATTTTATAATCAAGGAATTTGAGCAAACCACGTCATTTTGTACAAGTACTTTTGTATATAGATTCTATTTGTTAACATTATATTTAACCAAATTTGCACTACGGAAGGGCACTTTTCTATGTGCTAAATTCAACTAATCCCCAGAAAGATATTGTGCCTAGATCAGCATATCCCTCCTCTTTAACCAATATCCCACCTTAATAATGGTTCAAGTCCCCATCAAACTTATGTTGATTTGTAGTTTAAGATAACCTCATGGTTTGGCTCATACCCACAAAGTTGGCAACATCCATGGCAAATGAGATGTTATTGCAGTCAGTGGTGGGTCAGAGGGCCAAATTAAATGGTTTAAAAAATTGGCGAATTTTTTTTGATTATTTCATTCTTAGCAAAGATATCATACATAACTTTTACTAAAATATTGACTTTTATAAGGCTCCGTTTGTTTTGACGTAAAATATTTTACAAAAAAAAATATTTTTCTTGTAAATTGATTTTACATAGAAAAAATATTTTTACTTTCGTTTTTCGGCGTTTGGTTGACACTTGAAACAAAAATATTTTATTGCCTAAAAGAGAAATTTTGATTCAATAAAGTGTCATTTATGACTTTTTAATGAGCTCATTTGAAAATGCTAAATGTATTGAAAAAGTAGTGAGTGAGAGTCAACTTTGTAAAAATTGATTTACGGAATTTTTAAAGGTAAGTCATTTTTTAGAAAATGATGCAAAAATATTTTCCTTCAAAAATGTTTTACTTACTTTTTGTTCAACCAAACAACGAAAAATGAGTAAAATGTTTTTGACAAAAACATTTTACATCAAAATAAACGGAGCATAAATGTTAAAAACCAAAAATAAAAATTAAATTTGCAAATAAATGAATTACAACAGCTTGTGGTAACTACAACACCTTGGTGAAAATGACCTAAATTTATTCTACGGAAATTTTCATAAAATTCACATCACAAAAACATCTAAAATAATCCTAAACATGCATAAAGAAACTCATTGGCTTAACTTCATCTGCAAATCCTACTCCTTACTAGTCATAAAATACGACAGAAACTGAAAGAGTGCCATGAAATGGGACCACGCCATAGGACATCCTTCCTAAGATATTGGCACAATAACTGAAATTCCATTAAACCCATATAACACTGCAAAACAATGAACTACAACTGTAATAAGCATGGTAACTATAACACCTAAACATATATCTAACCCTGGACTTAAACCCATATTAATTTTAAATTTAAGTAAAAAATCACGGAAAACACATGTCCACTCCTTGAATAAAACTTACACCAAATTGAGTTTTAAACATTTTTTACCCAAATCAAATTTTCAACACAATTTGTGGTTTTCAAATTTACAACACTAACATTATTGAAGTTGTTCAAATCAAATAAAAGCTTTCCTTGATATTTGGGTAAAAAATTGAGCAAGGTCTAGAGATTAGATTACCTAAGTGATAATTATCTTTATGTCTCCTATCCTATGAAAATCTCATAAACTTGACAACATGAAAACAACAATAACTAAAATAGTTTTAGAGATGCATAATAATATTATATTAGGGTCAGCATATAGAAACAAAATTCTTAGACATATGCTGTATTCTCAAATCAAACAACATAGAGATCATTAGAAAACCTAAGTTAAGAGAGAAAATTGATGGATGAATTGAGAGTGAAGAAGGGAGGAAGCGAACCGTTGGAATTGAAGGAGAGATGTAGATCCATAATCTACTTGGAGGAGGAGGAGGAGTGTTTCTTGGAAGAAGAGTAGTCGGGAGGAGAGTAGATCAGAGCAGCCACCATGGCTCCAGGAAGCACTGCATACTTTGCCAGGACTGCCAGTTTCGCCACCAGCGGTTCTCCCCTCATAAACGCCATTGATGATGATGATGATGATGATTGATCGATTCAGAATCAACTACGTCTTCTTCTACTGCTCTGCTACTCGACTCGGATCGGAGGACAACCCAACTGAGAATACGACTGATGCCTCTGTTTCCACTCAATAAACAATATGCCTGATGCCACTCAATAAACAAATTTTAGTTTGTAAATTTGTGTGTATATTATTTTATTAAATTATTAATTATAAATCAATTATTAATTTTTATGAATCATAATTAAATTATTAACAACTTCTTTTTTCAAGAACCCAACAGATTCCACCACCATGCTACTGTTATATTTTTATTGAATGGTTGCTTTATGGAACGATGATTTTTTTTTTAAGGTTCCTAGTATTAAGATTTTATATTATAAATGATATTTAATATTTCAATAATATTTAAGGTTCTTTAAGTTGATCCAGAAAAAATTCACATCACAGAAAAAATCAGTTCAGAGAAAGAATTTCTCTGGGCTTTCCTTTCTCTGACCTTTCCTAAACTTCCCATTGTAAATTTCTTTGCCCTTCCCTTCTTCAAATTTCTCTGCCCTTCCCTTCTTCAAATTTCTCTGCCCTCCATATATTTCCTACTCTCCTAGAGAAATTTCTCTGCCTTTCCACAAAATTACATCTCTAGAGAAATTTTAAATTTCTCTGCCCTTCCTGCCTTTCTTGGACTCAACTCTCCGGAGAAAATTTGGAAATTTCTCTGGTCTTTCCTTCTTTCTAGAGAAAGTTTCCTTCTCTGGCCTTCAAAGAAATTTCCCTCTCCAGAGAAAATTTCTTTGGCCTTCTTGGCCTTCCTTGCTCTCCAGAGAAATTTCCCTTCTCTAAACCCAGAGAAATTCACGCAAACTAGAGAAATTCCCCCTCTCCAAACCTAAAGAAATTCTCCTTCACAATCTTTTCTGGTTGAAAATCATAAATCTCAGATAAAATGTGATCCATGATTCATACATTGGCTGTGGTGTTACAAGATCTATCAACAGTACCTTGGGAAATTTAAAGAAACAGAGTTAGAATTTATAGTTGCAGAAATTATAACACACAACATGCCCCCCGGTCTATGTCACTCCCCAAACCAATACATACACACACAAACACAAAATTTTGAGTAATGACTGGTGATGTGATTGGTATTTATCACTATGAAGAACACCATGGCTATGGCAGTGAGCAACCCCAGTACACAACAGATAGAGAAAACTCTAGATTAGTGAAAGCGGGAGAAGTCGAGAATCGGGGCCCTTGCGGTGGGAGTCCATTTCTCTCTCTCACCACATATATGTGTATCTCTCTCACCACATATACGTATACACATATATGTGGTGAGAGAGAGAAATGGATCGATCGTTGCCGGAAAACCTAATACTTGTGACCTGGTATCGCTTTCGTGATGATCAACTGCCCCAAATCTCTGAACTCGCTAATGAAGCCGATGATGACGGATCTGGCTCCAAAATGAATCACTCAGGGGGTGTGGCAGTGAATGAGAGTAAGAGTGGAGACAACGGTTCATGGTTGATCGAATCACAGAGAGAGAGAGAGAATGATGAAAGCCCTAGCCAGAGGAAAGAAGAAATCGAGAAAGTGAATTTTCTCTGGAATATACGGGTGTAGGATCAAGGGATCTTAGACATTATAAAATAATATTGTGGATCTCTTCTACCACAAAAAATGGGAAATGAACCTTAGACTAATTTTCCCTTATAGAACTCACACTTTACTTTATCCCTTTTTTACAACTATAATAACCCTACTAGGGTTGGTAAACAATTTATAAATAAAGGAAATTTAGCTAAAACTTTTTTATTGGACTCTTATTTGATAAAAATAACAATTTAATTTATTTTGTTTCATAAATTTTTTTAAGAACAAAACACATAATTAGTAAAGATAATGTAAAATATTTTTTTTTCTTGGACAATACTACCAAAGTAATATGTTATTGTGAAAAAAAGTAACAGTAAAGTAACGTGTTACAGTCCAGCAGAGTAATATGTTACTATTACTATTTACATCAATTTTGACAGCAATAATTTTTTTTTTTTTTTAGAATTTCATAGTCAACATGGATCTTATTTGACAGATCTTGATGAGAGAATTTTAAAAATACTAATTTTATTATAAATAAACATCTATATCGAAAGTTAAATGAATAAGCTTAAGTAGTTTTAAGTTCGGCTCGATAACACTTGTGAAAAAAAATAAAATAATTAATTAATATTTTATTTCAATAATATAGTATTAAATAATTTTTTTATTAATTTATTTTATTTCTATTTGTCTTTGGTATTTATGTAAATTTACATATTTGATTAATAAAATCGATCTCAAACGAGTCGAACTTAGGACTCGAGTTTATTCATTTAGTAAACGAACCGATCTCAAATAAGTTTTAAACGAGCTAAGTTCAAGTTGTTCATAAACAATTCAATTTAGTAAATGAACCGATCTCAAATGATTTTTAAACGAGCCAAACTCGAGTTATTCATGAACAATTTGAGCTAGTCAAGCTCGTAATTTTTTTATATATATTTTTTTATCTTAGTAAGTAAATTAATTTAAGTTTTTTTTTTTTTTTCAAGCTCAAACTCTACTCCTTTATGTAATCGAGTTAGCTGCTCGAGTTTCTCCAATATTTAATGAGTCGAGTTTGAGCTCAATCATTTGAGTTTGGCTCGAGTTCAAGCTCGGCTAATTTTCAGTAAATAAATTTAAATATTTTAAAGTTCAGCTTAGCTTAGCTCAGCTCAACTCATTTGCAACCCAACTCACCACCTTCATATTTCATAACACGATTTGTAACTTTCGCACCATTTTGATTAAATAAAATAACAAGTTTTTGTACAATAAATGTCAAAGATACAATATGTATGGAAACTTCAATTTACTTGCCATAAGTTCTCTTAGCACATATCATCATTTATTTCAAACCATAACACATTTTGATTTTTTGAATGTTGCTCAATTTACACAATTTTATCCCCATAATACTCTAATCTTCAAAATCTAATCATAACCTTAACCCTAATATCAGCCATCTACTATTGTTGCAGGTGTCGTCCCTTCCCAACTACCATTCCAACACCCTATGCTTTGCCTCTTCCACTCCATTCATACCCTTGTAATCCCCTCCATTGCCACCTCCAACTCTTTTTTCTCTTCTACTACCTTTTTCTTCATCATTCATGTCATAACCCTAGATCTAGAAATCTCAAACACTTAGATCAACCGATCTCTTTCTTTATGAGATTGGGTCATAGAGAGTGACGGGTGTGGGATTACTGCATAACAGATGTAGGGGTTGTGATGATGGTAGTCATAGATGTGGACGGTGAAAGGCAGTAGAGGTAGGGATTGCAAGAAATGGTTTGGAAAATGGTTTTGGAAAAAAAAAGCAAACTTTTCCTAAACTTTAGTATAATTTTTAGGTGGAACCCATGCACCAAAGTTGGCGGGTCTAAGTAGTAACGCGTTCTATGCCACGTTGTGATTCACGTAGTATATTTGGTTGCTCAAAACTATTATCGAGTGAATGAGAAATTGATGCCAAAATGGGCTCCATGAAAATGGTGTGTTTGGTAGAATTTTCATAATGGTTTGAATTAAGATTTGTCCCACGTTGGTTTGGTAGGAAAACTTTGTGTGGGTTTATAAGGCTTGGGTTTGCAACTTGGGGAGGGCTCCAAGGGGTACCCAAGTTTTGTGGAAGGGTGAGGTTATGAGTAAAGTGGGCTAGACCCATTGGACCCAAAATAAACACGCTGCTGATCGGGCGAGCTGGATTGGGCTTGGCTTGGGCGCAGGTGTGTGGTTGGGTTGGGCTTGTCTGATCCAATACTAATTCTTTTTGGGCCAAAAATATTTATTATTATTATTTTTTGTTTGGAAAATAAAATCTTTCCAGTTTTGTTTTCAAATTTCGGATATGAAAAATTCAGATTTTGGCTTGCACCTCTTCAAACTTTTTTATAGGTTCCATATCTGTTTGAACAGATTCAAATCTGTTCAATTCAAACCTAACTATTTAATTTAAATTCAAACAGGTTCTATATCTGTTTAATTCAAACCAAACAGGTACTATACAAACAGGTTTGCTACCTATTTAATTCAAACTGAAAGGCCACTATTCCATCTATAAATAGGCAATTCCTCATTTGGTTTTTTCACTTAAATTTCCGTCCTAAATTCTGCTATTATTCTCTCTGCATTTTGTTGCATTATTTTCTTGTGAGTAAGAGTGTAAACACAAAGTATGTTCGTTGTGCGAATAATTTGTAGTGCTGCTACTATTCGTTGTTGATCATTTTATCCTAGGAGATAGACGTTCACAATCTGAAAGCACCGAGGAGAGGACGAATCTGTCTTAAGAACATAGTGTTAAACACTGGACTTGATCAAAAATTTGTTCGAGAAACTAATAAGGTAAGCATTTATTTTTTTATCAGATTCTGATTTTGTTTTTGTAACAAAATAAAAGTATATTGTTTTATTTTTTTTTATATACTGTTTTGATTTTTGTAATCAAACAGCCTCTCTCCTTTTTTTAATTATTTTTTTGAATACATTGAAGATTTTTTTAAGGTCCCTAGTATTAAGATTTTATAGTATAAATGATATTTAATATTTTAATAATGTCTAAGGTCCCTCAAATTGATCCAGAAAAAATTCACATCGCAGAAAAAATCAGTCGAGAGAAAGAATTTCTCTGGACTTTCCTTTCTCTGACCTTTCCTAAACTTCCCATTGTAAATTTCTTTGCCCTCTCCTTCTCCAAATTTCTCTGCCCTCCATATATTTCCCACTCTCCTAGAGAAATTTCTCTGCCTTCCACAAAATTACATCTCCAGAGAAATTTTAAATTTCTCTACCCTTCCTGCCTTTCTTGGACTCAACTCTCTAGAGAAAATTTGGAAATTTCTTTGGTATTTCCTTCTTTCTAGAGAAAGTTTCCTTCTCTAGCCTTCAGAGAAATTTCCCTCTCCAGAGAAAATTTCTTTGGCCTTCTTGGCCTTCCTTGCTCTCCAGAGAAATTTCCCTTCTCTAAACCCAGAGAAATTCACGCAAACTAGAGAAATTCCCCCTCTCCAAACCTAAAGAAATTCTCCTTCACAATCTTTTTTGGTTGAAAATCATAAATCTCAGATAAAATGTG